TTAATTATTCCCACAAAACAAAATCACTCCCCGAAAAGTGATTTTGTATTTTCACAAAGTCTGCCTGCAGCCTTTTTTCAAGTGGCAACCCTCAATTTTCTTGGGTACCTAGGACCACCTTTCAACCGTATTTTTTTGCCATTCTGCTCTCAAATGGAAGCCCCCCAAACCAGGGAGTTGATCCTTGCAAAGATTTAAACAGTCTCACCATGGGGGGGGGCATGCAAACTTTTTCAAAAGAAACCGGGGGGGACACATTTTTGGTGATGAGCTGGTCAGAAATTTTCACAAGTTATAAGTGGACTGCACCCTGTGTGCAGCTCGCGAGGCGACATGGTGAGATGTCTCCGAGGGAAGGCACTGTTCAGTCGAGAACACTCGGACATCGTTGTAAGACGTAACGTGGATAGCGCGCGCACTTTAATTGTTTGACAAGTAAGTCGCCCTCAGAGCGTAGTGACGATGTTATTTTGGTTGTTCTCAAACAGCGCTTTCCGTCTCCGAGTGGTTTGCCCGATCCTCAATCAAGTTAGCCATGATATCTACACCGCTCTGCGCCGACAGACTGAGAGTTACTACGTGTGGGAGAAATCTACAAATACGGAGTGCTGACTCTTCCAATTTATTTCTGAAATATAACTCGTTTGACTTTCGATCTCATGATATCATATGCCCCCATTTTGACGGCTTGGTGAAGGTCCAACAATCTTTATGTATTTCATGTGGACTGAAATCATCAAATTAGTCCTTTCATGCCACAAAAACAAAAGATAAACGCCGGTATGATGGGCCATTTTTGCCCGATACAGTCTGTAACACACGTACTTTTGGATGAAATTTAATGGAGCTGGCTAGTTTTTAACAACTCTTAAAAGTTTAATCGAAGAGTTGGTTTCTCTCCTGTTGGGGGTGCGTCGGTCAAACTATATTTTGCATCATATGTGAAAACGACCTCAGTTACTTCCTGACCTACCTGTGTCTTAAGCCACGGGTTCTGCTGCAGCAGTTCGTCCCATTTCGTCCGGCAGTCAACCATTACACATTCGGCATCGTCTGGTCGTTTCTGAACGCGGCTGCGCAGTAGATGCTTCGCGCTCACCTCACTGACGACTCGCTCGCTGCCAACGGCGGCACTGCTCTTTGTATGTTGCATTTCACTTAATAAAACAATGTCTGACTGATCTGCGATAAAAATGATTGAGCTCCAACGTTATTTTCAGTGTTAGACGGAAGCTGCTGTTGCTTTCACTTCTCTCCGACGATATTCGCAGCTGGGGATATCAAGTCACTATCTGCCCACTGACTGCCAGTGGCGCTCTTTAATACGGTTTTGCGTTACAGTGACGTCATTTGATGCGGACATCTACTTACAGGGTGCACCCTCCTAATTAGGCCAGAAATATGTCCGCCGAGCTCATTAATAACAGTTATACCCTCAAAATATTCTATATTAGAGGGTCCTGAGAGCCATGGAACTGAGGAATTGAAGAAATATGAGACTGGGCCTCTGGGCCGGACTCAGGGCTTCCAATTCTGAGCAATTTGGATGCAATCGGGTTTGAAAGTGGCACTATTTGAGCCATTTTGCCGAGGGAGGGTTTTTTAAAATGGCTACTTTTTGGACAGGGACATTTTCTGCATTTTAGGGGTGGTCTGCTTCTGGTAAAAATTTCTCAAAAATTCATTGGTCAACCCCCCGAAAATTGAAAGGAATATGAAAGGGGACATGTGGAACATCATTTTTCTGTGCAGCCTGAACACCTGTGAGAGATGTGAGTATTTTTAAAATATTTGTGAAGTATGGGGATTTATCACTGCTGTCTATGGGAATTTATTTGTAGTGATGCACCCTACAGGTACGCAATCGTGACTGTGAGTCTGGCATGCAGTGGTCCTTCCGAGAGCAGCTAGCCTCGCTGACCAGTTCCGGGGTCAGTCCGGTTTAGCAAAAGTCCAACTTTGTTGTCGTTCATCGTGTTGTGTTTTGTGGTGTAGGCTACATATAATGCCGTACCATAACAAATCCTGGAATGGAGGGTCACGTTCTCTAATTATCAAATTATCTCTCGTTATTTAATTATACAGTCATTGATGTTATACGGTGTTTTTAATTTAATTCCTTCAGTACTTTTGTCTTAATAGAGATTTTTATCTCTTTTAAATATTTTGAACAGGGACCTACCAGAGAACAGTTTTTACAAACTGAATGGGTCCCCCGGTACAAATAATAAATAAATATAAATAAATCTCGCACCAAGGTAATTGTTAATTATTAAGATAGAGGGTTTGTGGATACACCATGTGGAAATTAGCTCTGTTGAGTATGTGTGGTTCTGAAAAGAACCGGTTACTCGACTTTCGGACAATGAGTGCTCGAGTAACCGGTTCTTTTCAGAACCTCACATTTCCACATGATGTATCCGCAAAATCTGCACCTTATCGTATTCCACCATGCAAACCTTCAAAAGCTACCTGTTAATTAGTACAGTAAACTGATGCTTTCCAGTCTTGTTCTTGACACCTGGAGGCCAGTGACGCTCGAATATCACATTTCTTCTTATCCTGTGCCTAATGAGAGTTTGCTTGACGCACTGAAGTCATCTACATGTTACCATGGAGCCTATAATATAGCTACATCATTGATCATGTAAAGCACGAAAAATCCCTAGTTGCCCCCCCCCTGCACTGGGCTATTGTTACATTTTTGCATGAATGCGTAAACCACGGACAGCCGGTACTCATCAGCAGCAAGCGATAACGGCGTGACATACACACGGAGCACGTACGTATGGATGTATAGTTCATGAACGCGCCGTCACACATACACCCACAAAAACCATTAAGTTGCAAAAAAGTTAACAAAAATTCGCCCGTTGGGGAACTTTTATAAAGATACGATGTTCACTTGTAACCATCTACCTTTTATGGAATTCCA